GGAAAATTTTTTTTGTCTTTTATTTATATGGGATTAAATTGTTTTTAGTTAACAAAGTGAATTAATTTTTGCTATTAGTATATAAAACTAGAAAAAAAAAAAATTAATCTTTTTTTACAACTTAAATTTATTTCAAATTACAATATTCAATATGATGTTTAATTAATTTAAAATAATAATTGAATTACTATCATTTTTCAATTTAGTAGATCAATGAATATCATGAAAACCTTTTGATGCATAAACTATATATTTTATAAATAAAATTGGAATACATTTTATTATGATTTTATAGTTTTAATTAAATAATATTTTTTTATACAAAATGATGAATGTGAAAAATTCAAGGGCCCTAAACCAAAACCTATGGCCTGTTTGGCAACTGCCTTAATTGGTAGCTGACGGTACCTGAACCTGATCCCTTGTTTGGTTCCTAGGAAAATAAAGGGAAAAAAATGACTCTACTTTCCTCAATTCTTCACAGACGAATCCCCTCCCAAAGATCCCACCTTTACTCTAAATTTTCATGTTATACCAGAGAATTCTCCAACAGAGACACAACTATACCGGTCATGACTCGAAACAACTGCCGGTTCCAGTGCGGTCACCGGCCGGTCTAGTCTCTGCACTTTTCTCCGATTCTCTTTTTTAAAAAGCATCAACCAACTCCGGGTGATACGCAACTGGAAGTTCCGGTTTCTCTGTTACTAAAACCGGTCCGCTTCCCCTATTGACCGGATCACCCGGTAAACCCGGAGCTGATGATATCATAATAGTTCAACCAACCGGCTGCTAACCCTTGCCCTAACCCGTCTATCCGGTTGATAAAGTCTGGGTTTTTATAACTTCCGTAACTCGGGTTCTCTTCTCCGCTGAACAAAACCTCCTTTAGCTTTCAAATAGAAGACCCAAGTAAGCTTTTTTCCCTCTCTTTCTTTTTTCTTAAAAGTACTAATTTTTTTACGGGTTTATTTTGTTACTACTAGTATTGCATTTATTTGGGGCGGGGGTTAAAGTAAACCCTTTTTGGTTAATTTGATGTTGCTAGGTTTATTCTTAATGTTATCTGGTCTATAAGACAATAATTTTCATGGTTTTGTTAAGGTCTTCTATGGTGGGTGTGTGTATATAGGTTGTTGTAATAATGGCATCACCTGATATGGAACCAATACCCATAACATCACAGAAACATGACCCGGCATGGAAACACTGTCTGATGTATAAGAACGGAGACAGGATACAGTTAAAGTGTGTGTATTGTGGGAAGATGTTTAAAGGGGGTGGGATTCATAGGATTAAGGAACACTTAGCTGGTCACAAGGGCAATGCTTCGACTTGTTTACGTGTTCCACCTGATGTTCGTCTTACAATGCAAGAAAGTTTAGATGGGGTTGTAGTCAAGAAGAGAAAGAAACAGAAGATTGCGGAGGAGATAACGAGTACTGCCTTAGTTGCTACTGAGACAGACACTTTTGGTAATCAGTGTGATATTGATGTTAATACAGGGCTGCAATTGATTGGAGTTCCGAGCACGATTGAGCCCACTTCTAGTTTATTAGTTAACAATGAAGGTACAGTTAATAGTAGCGGAGATAGGAGAAAGAGAGGGAGACCGAAACTTTCCTCAGTCAATGCCAATGATGTTGTTGTTAATGGTGTTGAGTATGGTGCAAGAAGGATGAGCAATAATATTCATATGGCGATAGGACGGTTTTTATATGATATTGGTGCACCTCTAGATGCTGTGAACTCGGTGTATTTCCAGCCAATGGTTGATGCCATTGCGTCTGGAGGAGCAGAAGTCGTGCTGCCAACAAATCAAGATCTTCGGGGTTGGATATTGAAGAATTCAGTTGAAGAAGTGAAGAATGATATTGAGAAATTGAAGGCTGGATGGGGAAGAACTGGTTGTTCTATTTTGGTTGATCAATGGAGCACTGAAATGGGTAGAATCTTGCTAAATTTTTTGGTGTATTGTCCTGAAGGAACAGTGTTTTTGAAATCTGTAGATGCATCTGGGATTATAAATTCCTCTGATGCTCTCTATGAATTACTTAAGCAAGTCGTAGAAGAAGTTGATGTGAGAAATGTGCTGCAGGTAATCACTAACATTGATGAGCAATATGTAGTTGCTGGAAGAAGATTAACAGAAACTTTCCCTACACTATACTGGACACCCTGTGCATTTCACTGCCTAGATTTGATACTTGAGGATTTTGCTAAACTGGAGTGGATAAGTGCAATAATGAACAAGCTAGATCCATATCAAGATTTGTCTATAATCATAGTGTGGTTTTGAATATGCTCAGAAGGTATACATTTGGAAATGATATTGTAGAACTGGGACCTACTCGGTCTGCAACAAACTTTATAACATTGAACAGGATGGTTTGTCTTAAACACAATCTGCAGGCTATGGCTACCTCACAAGAATGGGTGGACTGCCCATATTCGAAGAAACCAGGGGGCTTGGAAATGTTAGATATAGTCAGTAATCAGTCATTTTGGTCTTCTTGTATCCTCATTACCCAGTTAACAAATCCTCTATTACGAGTGTTGAGAATAGTCAGCAGTGAGAAGAGACCTGCAATTGGATATGTCTATGCAGCAATATATAGGGCAAAAGAAACTATAAAGAAAGAACTCATCAAGAGGGATGATTATATGGTGTACTGGAATATTATTGATCATTGGTGGGAGCAACAATGGCATCATCCTCTTCATGGTGCAGGTTTTTTCCTTAACCCCAAGTTCTTTTATAGCATTGAAGGAGACATTTATGGTGAGATCCAGTCTGGCATGTTCGATTGCATTGAGAGATTGGTTCCTGATATAAAAGTCCAAGATAAAATTACCAAAGAGATGAATTCTTATAAGAATGCCATTGGAGATTTTGGGAGAAAAATGGCAGTTAGAGCAAGAGATACTCTGCTTCCTGGTGAGAGACCATTTTGTTATGTTTTCCTTTTCGTGAAGTTTTCAGCTAAATTTTTTCAATTAGTTTCTTAATTTTAGCCTTCTT